TTTATGTATATAAATGTAAAAAAAATGAAGTTTAGGTGTTAGATATGTAAAATCCATAAAAAAAGAGTGGTACTTATGTAAATCTTTGAATAAAAAAACCAAAAGCGCACAAACAAGAAATAGAAAAAATATTATGTCACGAGCTCCTACTCCTCCATTTAAATTTAATTTAGTTGGATGAGACGGCTGTAATTAATTCCAAAACTAATTATAAAATTATTATAAGACAATTTTTTATTATAAGAAGAGAGATTGCAGTATAAGATAGAACCTGAGAAAGGCGGCGAGCAGAACGCGAGGCTAAGCGAAGCCAGTTTCAGGGCGCCTCTTCATTGGCAGAGTTGAAACAGAGGATTGGCTTATTTGTTTTCCTCTCAATGGTCTGCCAAAGGAGAGTTGCCCTGTAACTGACCTTCAGCTTACACAATTTCTTTTTTGCATAAAAAACCTTCCAAGAGAAAAACAAAAAATTGAGGTAATTAAAGTGCAAAAACATTATTTTTTTCTTGCAAGTAGGTGATTGTCTCAATACTGTGAGTTTGTTTGGGATTTTTACAAACATACCACCCAATTCCTATGTATTTACATATCTAGCACAGACTTTACTTCTTAGTTCTTACATTAATAGCACCCAAATCTCAATTAAAGGTTAAGGAGGCATACCCAAATCTCAATTAAAGGTTAAGGAGGCATATATATCTGTAAAAATTGAAGCTTAGGTGTTAGATATGTAAATACATATCTTTTCATGTCTTTAATAAATGTCATACACTGCCCACGGACCCTAGAAAGAATTCAGACTTTTATGAATATTAATGATATATTTAGATGATGATATTATCTTACGAATAGATAATATAATATCAGACGGAACATGTTGAACCAAACATCCCGTAAATTGCAACAAATATATTGAATCCCATTCGTAAAAAATAAGATGTTCACATTTCAAACGTAAAAGATAAGCATCATCCAGAAAAATAGTTAGTCAATTAGATTAAATAAATAACACAGCACTGCCAGCAGCCATTTGCGTAGCCCATCAACCATGTTGCATTATGTTGTCGTTTCTACATTTTTTATATTTGGGGAATTTACATACATACCACCCAATTCCTATGTATGTCATTATCTAACACCTAAACATTTTTCTTTACATTTATACCATCCAAATATTCCATGTCACATAAAACATATCAACTTTTAAAAAGTGAGATGCAGCTTTCTTGCATAAGGTGGCAAATATGAATAAATTGAAATTAGATTTGTGATTACCTGAGAATTGAGTGGTTTGCATGTGAATCTTCCTTAATTTTTTTAAAATTTCTAAATTTTAGCACTTAAGGAAACTTATAGCCACATCACCAAAACTTTTTATACCATCTTAGTTTGAAAAGATTTAGGATTTACAATAGATATATATTTAGGGTCCATTTAAGACAACTAGTTTCCTTTCTGTAGCATCATCCTCTTATGAAGTAGGCAACTTGACAGACTCGACAAGTAAAAGTAAACTCTATTGACTTTACATGAATTTGTTTTCTACTTGAAAATCAGTATATACAATCTAGGTAACTAAAAAACTATAGGCTAGCTAAATTCATTTTATGGCAAGCACTTGTTGGACCATATTATCTAATTTTATTTAAATTGCATAAATGTAGCCTTCCATATAGAGCTATTCTTAAATAAGAAGTCAGATGGTCAGCTAAGGGCATTCAGTAATCTACTCAAGTTTTGTGCTTTCATCCCAAAACTAATCACTCAGGATTCACTTTATGCTCCTTTTGTTCTCATATTTTTAAAACAATTAATTTAGTAAGATTCATTAGAAGCTAATAAACATATTTAGATCTAACAACCTTTCCAGTGCGATGTGCATGGGCTAATGTCAAAGACCATAAACCTAGCTTTAGAATGAGAATGGTAGGGAGAGTCAATAGTCGATTGCAGTGGAGAACTAAGATATCGTTACTAGCAGAGAGGTCTATCAAATTATGGAAAGACTCATCAAAATGATTCAAGAAGTTATGGAGCATGTTCCACGAACTACCTTATATCCAAATAATGAATATTTGAATTCCTTCGTTGGCTGAAAATCACCAAGTTTGTAAGGCATTAATTTAGACTCCATTTATTGGTAAAACCCATTGCCACAAAAGCGAGAAGGAAACACATCAACCTAGTAAAGCCAAGAAAGATCAATAACCATTTACAAACGCATTTTCTGAGAAATTACTAAGAGATGGCCTGTAACAAAATTCAAATTTGTACATTTGAATTTGCACAAGAGGAAGACTGATCCAAATTATTGCATTAATTATTTTTGTTTTTAATCGATCACTATACTGTGGAACATCAATGATGCTATAAAGCATCGATTGCTTTTACAATCTTCAAAGAGCCAGCATTGAGATGGCTCTCTTTTCTTACATTTGGAAACATAACCTCCTTGGTAGAATTCAAGAGAAAATACATCACTCAATTTAAAGTGCCCACAAATCGCTAAAAATTTCTCAAAAGTTGTTGAAAACGAGAAAGAGGTAGGGCAAGTCCCTAGAAAGTTTATTATTCTCTTTCAACAGGAGAAGCTGGAAGTTAAAAATTAGGAGCCAATAATCACTCTAGTTGCATGCATTCAGGATCTCAAACGGACAATTCAAACGTGGACTTGGATTAAAACAACCAAAAATATTGATAGAAATATTAAAACTCGTCAAAAATCATAAAGAAATAGAAGAAGGTAAAAACATGAAATTTCAAATTAATAAAAGTCTCATGACAACATCATCAATATTGGGTGATGTATTTTCTCAATTTTGCAGAACCTAAACACACCATGGCAAACAACAACCACAACAACATCATCATTTGCGAGTTGAGCATAGGAACTACCTAACTTACAAAAAATTTTCAAAAAATGATTCATTAGTAGCCAATATATATCGCACTTAAACTCCTTCAAAATATCATATGCAAACTTATTGAAAACAATCAAAGACAAGAAATAGTTCCACCAGCCACCTATGCTATATGCATAACATCAATAACAACATAATATATTCATTAAACACCGTGCTGTATATAAGGATCATAGATCTAACATCTTCATTAAAAAGCGAAAAAGATTAAGAAATTTATATTTATCCATCCTAATGTCGGTCGTTTTTTTTAACTTCGTGATTTGAAAAAGTGATGGTTTTGTGATTTTGAAAATAATTTAAATATAAATATAACTTTTTTTATTTTAAAAGTAACATTTCAATTTTAAAATAGGTGAGACCAAACGGGTCTCACATTTTAAATAATTTAGATGATTGAATACAATACTACAAGCGATACACTTATCCCGAAGAATAAACATATCACTTGTAATAGAGATTCAATCACCTAGACTAAAGAATTTGTGGCATCCGTTTTGGTCTGCGAAATATCTTATAAAAAGACCAACAAGTTCCCCTACCTAACATAAAAATATTAGATAGAGTTTATTTTATCTGGGTTCCAGGTTCCCTATAGAGTCAAACCTCTATATTTAATTACATCTTAAATGACTGGGGGCACTTAATAAAACTCTCGATTAAGATCGGTGGTTTTGCCTTTAAGATTTCAAAGTTTAGGTTTTCACGATTGGACATGGGAAAATCAAATGAGAATGACTTAAAATAGGAACAATTATTTAAGGAATTCAAAAGGAAGAAAAGTAGAGGATATCACGGATCCGGGGAAACCTCGATGAAAACCCCGATGAACTCCCAACTAGTCTATTGTTTAGCTTTATGTCTTTTGAAGTGATGTTTATTTGATATTTCAATCCTGCAAATTATTTAGGAGTTAGGACTTACGTTTACACAATATCAGACTATGCAAATAGCCTAAAAGATAGGAGAATTTATACCGTACAACACGGTAACCTCGGAATCCTAAAGTGTTAGGACTTATAATTACACAACAGAGTTGTGTAAAAAGCCTAAAAGTGATATGTGAGAGTTTACGTTGCGCTAAACAAACTACCTCGAAGTCCTATAGATTGTTACTTAAACTAAGAAAATTGTATAGTGTTGTGAAAATGTTTATGTATGTGTTTTTGTGTTTTTGCTGTTGCAGATCCATCTTGAAGTTGTTCCTCGTCGTGTTGCCCACGATGTTCGCTCCAAACTCTTCGTAATAGCACCTTCTTGTTTAGTTTTGATTTTGAAAATGTACCTAACCACTAGGTTTTTCTAAACTAAGGCATAGTATGTATCAAAAATAACTAAACATGCAGTATAAAGAAAATAACAGTATAGTGCATAATAGAAAGAAAAGACAGTATAGCATGCTGAGAAAATAATATAACAGTAACATACTGAGAAAATAAAATGTTGTAATATAAATTAAACACGTACCCCTGAGAGGTTCATTGCTCCTACCTGAGAGGTTCATTGCTCCTTTAAGTTTAGCTATTATGCGCTGTGTAAAAGGGGAAAATATGACCTTAAAAAGACTTGAGAGAAACAGGTACATCGTTGGAAAAAGACAAACAAATAAAATAAAATACAATATCACATATAAAGGACCAATAATAGGAAATTTATATGTGATATTGGGAATGTCCCCAATTGCCAGAAGGATCTAAGTGTAAGACTCAAACTCAAATCCCAGAGCATTGGGTTTCAGTTTTGGTCAAGTTAAGGTGAGAATTTTATTATTTGATTTAATTAAATCAGTCATGAATCACAATATAGTGCACCCTCGTGTCTAGTGTCCTAATTAACTCACGAACTGGGGTCAAATGTTTGATTTCTTAGGTTCATTTGAAAATTAGGAAGATGAACTCTCTCAGGGTGTGCTCCTAAGATCTAGGAAGCCTACACTTTAATTTGGGCCTGAAGTCTTCTAAAGTGTCGAATTTCAATTAAGTATCCCTCAACTAATCCCCGAACATTTTTAGATCAAGCTTAGCTCGCTATCAGACTCCTAAAATCTAGAGGTAAACCTAAAGTTTTAGCAAAAAGTGTTATGAAGTGTGTTTCAATCTTAGTTAGGGTAGTTGGATTTAAGTTGATTCAAAGTTTAAGGGATCTAAGTGCAGGTCTACTGATCTTTCAATCTATGTCCCTAATCATTATCTAAACTCTCACTCTCTTCCAACCTTCAACTATTTTTCCAATTTACAATTTCATCTTTCATGTGCAAAAAGAACGGTGAATGATTTGCTATCATATCCCCTCTTTAGGTTTTATCATCTCGAAGATTCAAATTCTATTTTTTATTTTCTCTCTCTTTCTCTTTCTCTCATATTTCCTTATAAATCATTTCTGAATATAATTAAATTGAAAATTCTCATTTTTAACTTACTCATTAAAAAATAATAATAATAAACGAAAAGGAGACCGATCTATTTTTAAAACAAGGTCAAACCAGTAAAGCTTAAAACGAAATCATGAATGTATCGATCTAAAGACGTTTAAATTCATAAAAAGGTAAAAAAAAGGAAGGTGATCTCCAAAAATCAACACTTAAAATGTTCAAATCGATATATGAAAGTCTCAACATGTAAATCAAATTTTAATGAATAAAGCTTCAAAAATGCAATTTGAACTTCATTAAATAAAGCCTCAAAGTCCTTGAATCAATCTTAGAAAGATATCATTTTCTCACTTTTCATAAATGAATCAACGCGTGACAATTTTATTAATTTTCAAACCCCTTTATGAATTCAATTTATATCAAGTTTACAAATATGTCACAAAACAAAAGAGAATAATCCATAGGGAATGAATTTTCAAATTTCCAAAAGCTGTACCAATACCAATTCCATTCAACTCCATTTTTATTTAATCAAAAGCTCTTCCCTTTTCATTCATTTTTTTTTTTATTTCATAAACATGAATTTATTCATATAAGTGTTCAAGGTAATAGAAAGAAACAACCACCAACCTAATCTACTCCACCAAGAGATCACAAATTATAGCTCACGGGTAAGGTCAAAAGAGAGGAGGACTCACGGGTAAGGTGTGAGGGAGCACAACAAAGCTCTAATTAATTCAAGAGTAGGAGCCAAAAGAGAGGAGGGCTCAAGAGTAAAGCCACATGTATCACAAAGACAACAAAACAGCTTCAAATCCAACTCACGGCCAAAGACAACCCGAGAACAATCTCAAAGGTAGTAAACACCAAATGAGACTCACGGCTAAGCAGCAAACCAAAGTTTACTAAGCCAACAAAGCTACCAAACCATTCTCTCAACAAGGCTAACCCAAACCCAGCAGAAAGGGGGAAACCAACTCACGGTCAAGGACAAACCGAGCCAGCACTGGGGCAAACCAAGCCTAAGAGAAGATCCAAAACAATAAGAGATTTCAATCAAAATAAATCACCAAAACAGAGCCCAAATCGACCCCAAGAGAGGGGCAAACCGAGCCCAGCAAATGGGCAAAACCGAATCTAACAAAAGGGAGAAAAAAAAATAGAGAAATATTCCAGCTAAATCGAACTCACTAAATGAGTTAAAACAAAGTTATAAAAATCAGATTCTATAAAGCCAAAATCGAGCCCAAGAAAAGGGCAAATCTAGTACAATACATGGGGCAAAATAGAAAGCATGAAATGAGCCCCCAAACATATCTTTCCATAAACATAAAACAATTTCCAGCATGCATTCTAGTAAGGGGCAGCAAGAGAAACATGAAATAAGCCTCAAACATATTTTTCCATAGACATAAAACAATTTCCAGCATGCATTCTAGTAAGGGGGCAGCAAGAGAAGCATGAAATAAGCCTCAAACACATTGTTCCATCTCATAAAATAATTTCCAGCATGCATTTCATACTTCCAAATATTTCAAGCAACGAAGGTAATAAAGACAGGTCTCAAACATGCTTTTCCATATGTATTTCTAAAGGAGTAAAATGCATTCCAAGACCACCTTAGCCATATTTTCAAGTGTTTCAAGCAAAAGAAAAGTAGAGGTGATCCATATATATGCATGATTCATTTCTCACCATTCTAAGCAAATACTCATGCTTAAGCTTCAAAATAAACTTTTATATTTCATGCCATCCGAAATGATGTAAAATAGAGGAGAGGAGAAGAATACCTCTTAATGTCGACTCAAAGCAAAAAAAGTACGGCAGATCCAAAAAAAGGAAAACAGCCTTTCGAGCAGCACTCCAAAGCCACTCTCCTTTTTCTCCATGTAGAGAAGGAGAAGAGACGGAAGGGGAAGGGGAAGGGGAAGGGCGTCGTCGCTTGGATCTACTTGGCATGCATTTCATACTTCCAAATATTTCAAGCAAAGAAGGTAATAGAGGCAGCCCTCAAACATGTTTTTCCATATGTATTTCTAAATGAATAAAATGCATTCCAAGACCACCTTAGCCATGTTTTTAAGTGTTTCAAGCAAAAGAAAAGTAGAGGTAATTTATATATGCATGTTTCATTTCTCACCACTCTAAGCAAATACTCGTGCTTAAGCTTCAAAATAAACTTTCATATTTCATGTCATCCGAAATGATGTAAAATAGAGGAGAGGAGAAAAATACCTCTCTTTATGCAAACTTAAAGCAAAGAGAGAATAAAGTAGATTTGAGAAAGTCACTCCAACAATAGCCTACAAATACTCCTCACGGTTCGACAAATCCAAGCCTCGAGACCCTCGAACAACAGAGGGGAAGAAGATCTTCTCTCCAACAGGAAAAACAGAAAGAGGTAACTTTCTTAATAGCGAAGAATGGAAGCAGAAAACACCAAGTCCTTCTAAAATCTCCCCTCTCAAAAGAAGCCCTCTTTTTTTTAGTCAAAAAGAAAAGACAGAAGCACCACCACTCCCAAAATCTCCTCTGTGAGCTAATAGCCAAAGAAACGAAAAAAAAAAGCCACATGTTCGCCGCCCTAGCCAACCAATCAAAAAAGGGAGAAGGAAACGACACCATAATGAGGAGAGCGTACAACCTCAAGGAGAAGAAGCGTCGGCCAGCACATCTCCTTGCGATTGGAGAGTCGAACGACTGTAGTGCCACGTAGAGAAGGAGAAGAGACGAAAGGGGAAGGGGAAGGGCGTCGTCGCTTGGATCTACCGTGGAAGCTAGGGCAAGGGCAAGGAGGAGCGGGACGAGCACTTCATCTGTTCGAACCCATGAATGGGTCGAACAGATGGTGAAGGGTGCGGGTGATAGCCTAAATAGAGTTAGGTTTTAATATAATTATAGTTTAGGGGTAAAGAATTATAAAAAGCATTTAATATTTTGGAAAAAAATAAAAATTGAATTTGTGTTTTATTCGTGCGTCGTAACATATCGAATATGGATGTCCTTTCTAGGTATTTTCGACATTCCGGACGCTCTGGCGCGGTCCGTTTCGCCGTCGGAGGTCATCCGGAGAAGTTCACATTTTCACCCGTCCTTTAGGCTCAATTGAAGACCGTCCTCGTGCAATTTTGTAAATTTTGTACATTTAGTGTGTGTATGTGACGAAAAAGTCGTGACAATGTTTTCCTAAGGCTTGGAGTCCTATTAGGAACTTTTCCCTTGAGTCTTCACAAAATAGCCCAAACCGCTCGTTCATAAGACGATGGACTTGTGCCATAAATGTTAGACATCAAAGAAAAATATGAAGTGGTTAGAATTTCTAAAATGGTGGGTCCCAATTCTAGTTTTCTAATATGGTCAATAGGAACTCCTAGAGCTAGATCCTAGGATCCTGGAAAAGGTAATGACCTCAAAAATGAGGTCAACACCTAAATGTCGTCTAGAAAACAAAGAAAAAGGAACAAATTAATTAACCCAAGCAAAAATCATTTGGATAGCAAGAAGTATTCCATGAGGAAAATATTTATACTAAAATTTTAATTTGAAAGAGACGCGGGCATTTGCTTAACAGACTTTGCAATGTAATTCGTTTACATTTTTTTAAATAAATAAAAGTGCTAAGAAATTTGTTTTGAATGATATCTATAACAAATTGAAATATATGGAACTTGGTATCGATCATATTCGGGCAACTCCCCCACAGCCCCCGACACCTTAGAAATTTAAATTTTAAGTCTTGGAATCAATATTCATCTATTTAATTTGAAATTTACCAAAATTCAAATTTGAAACTCTACACAATGATGACTTGGATTAAAAATAAAAGAAAAAAACGTATGCACTTCACGGAAGCTTCAGCTTAATTTCATCACAATTAATTAAGATTTAGACATTTTCTAAATTTGTATGATAGTTCATGAAGACCTTTCTCATCTGTTCGAACATATTGAACAATCTGATGGGACCAGCTTGAGAACCATGCATGATTTTAAATTCATGTCGAAAAACTTGCAGTTTTTTAAAACCAACCAATTAGTATTTTGCCAATTTTGTCATAACACCATTAAATTCTTCAATTGTAAGCGCCCTAAAACTCTTGTTAAAGAAAATCCAGTGATTACTTAGGCAAATCAAATTAAGACACATCTCGGAAATATTATACAATGGACGGTTGAGATCCCTATGTAATTGCAATGAATCCTCTCCCAACCATTCAATTCATTTGAACGGTATGGATTAACTTCTTTTATCCTTTTTAAAATCAATAGGGTTTTCGAAAATTTAAGTAGCCAAACTGAACTAAAACATAGAACAGCATAATTTTAAGTTAACAACTGCTTTACATTAAATAATTCCAATCTAATTTTTAAGGAAATAATTGCTGTACCAATTGCTTTAACTAAACTTTGAATTTCAGCATTTAACAATCTTCCTTAAAACAAAACATATTGTTAATCAAAAGGAGCACGACGTGATTGATGTAAAATTACAAAAAAATATTTAAAAATTGAATAAAGATGTAAGATCTTACTCGCATGCAGAGTGCATCAGACCTTTATTATGCAAAAGCTACATCAGAGCGCAATACATATTTGATACCCTTCGTCACAGAACGAGCTTCATGCAACATGCACTTGGCTCCATGAAGATGAAGAAGAGCCATTCCCTCATGTGGAGAAACCTTGAGACAGTAAACCAAGCCAGACCAAAGCTTAATTAAATTAAAATGTAATAATAGGTAACGTTTAAAATTAGAGTAATGCTTTTGCCAGCCTAAACAATAAGTGTCTGCAAAATTTTTTATAAAAAAATAGGGGCATTTACATACATACAACATAATTCTTACATATTTACATATCTAACACCTAAAAATTCATATTTACATGCATACCGTTCAAATCTTTAACATTACATGAAAAAAATACAAACATCAGTATCTTTTTAAAAGTGAAATACATCATTTTATGACACCAAAGTGTTAGAAGTGCAAATACTAAACTTTGGGTGTTAGATAAGTAAATACTTAAGAATTGTGGTATGCATGTAAAATTCCAAATAAAATAATACCTCAGCGACAACCCCATGTCTTTGATCATAAAACACAGTCTCCCCTCCCGCCAGGGGTTGCATTGAAGAGTCATTGGTGCCAAGGTTGGCCTTCCCTTTTGGACTTAAAACGCCACTAAGATAAACTAGTAGAGTGTAGTAGGTTCGTCCGCCTTGTTCAAGCTCTACACTCTCATCAATGTGCCTTCCAAACATCTGGCCGACTTTATATCTAAATGAATAAAACAGCGTAAAATATTAGGAGAATGGACACAATATAAGCTAAGACTTGGAAATCCGGTACTTCTAATCAGTCATAATACATCAAGCTGTTCAGCTTGCAGTTATATAAAGTTATGAATACACAATTCAATTCCCATGCATATGGTTTTAGCATCTGATAAAATTACCCAGTGAGTTATTAATTCAGATTTAAATGAGGATCATATTCAAAATTCAAAGCTTGGAGAAACTATAGATGTAATTCACGTCTATAAGTGAAAAAAGGGGCATTTACATACATAGCACAGAATTCTTATGTATTTGCCTATCTCACACCAAAACTTCATATTTACACACGCACTCAAATTTTTAATATCACATAAAAAATCACATTATTATCAATTTTTGTTGAGAATTGAACCTTATTTAGGGTCCTATTAGTAGAAAGAGAATATTGAAGAAGTCTAAGTGTTTAGTTGTCAAACATTACAATACCCTATTTAAGCCCATGTTACGAATGTACAGATTAGGATTTCAACAATTCTTTCTTTTTGGTATTAGAGCCTAACCCTAGCCGTCACTCCTCTCTCACTCATTCCTCCCTAACCCTAGTTGTCGCTCCAGTGCCCCTCCTCTCTTCCGACCGGCTGCTGCATCGAGAAGAACAAGATAAGAGGAAGATTTGGGCACAGTGAAGAAAGCAAGAGCAGTATGACGTCGACGGGTCGAGGCGTAAAAGGATTCAAGCAACTTCTGTGAACAAGGGGAGAAGACAGTGATGGTTTCAAGAGTCCTCTACAACTAGATTTGGGAGACATCCGGTTGTGGTAAAAGGCTGGGGTGGAGAGGAACCAACGAAAAGTTTGGAGTTCTCTATGTATTGCGATCCTACTCATTGTTGTAAGTCACAAATCCAAAGCCGCTCAGCCTCCCCATCTCTCGATCATTGATAAACTTCAACTCGAGGAAGCCAAAAGGGTTGAAGGCGCTCTGTAGCGATTTTTCGTCTGATCCTGCTCTTGCTGCGAAACCAGAAAAGCAATCGAATACTAGAGATTAAAGTAAAGAACTTCAAATCGACGAAGGTTTTCTTCGAACAAGGGAGGTGCAACCTTGTGATTGAGGATGACAGGAGATAGAGATATTGTGAGTGGTAAAGGATCAGACCTTCTGGAAAAAATAGATTCTGAGATTATGAAAGACTTGGTCGGGCTCATACAAGGAGCTAGTGTCTCGACAGGAACTGCCACTTCGCAGGTGAAGCTTAATTTACCTTCCGTGGATCTAAAGCTTGATCGATCAGCCATGTATCTGAGTTGATCATGTCGGATTAAAGCGGCACTAGTAAGGAAGAGGCTAAAGAGATATATGACCGGGGATGAACCAAAGAGTGATGGTTCTGAGGGGATAAGTGGAGGACCGCACACGCCTTAAGCTACACTTGGCTACTCAACTCGATGGCTCTGTCAATTGCATCATCAGAAGATGACATTTGAACTGTGAGGGACGTCTGGGCAAAGCTGAAGAAGATTTAGGTTGGGACTGAAAAATTACATGAGGGTGTTCAAGATTCAACGTGAGATAGAAGCAATGGTACAGGGTGATAGATTGATTCAGGAATATGCCATAAATCTGACGTGGCTATAGGCAGATCTTGATCACTTCTCACCAATATCGAGCCGTGGCGATCCGGAGTGCAAGAAATGGGAGACCTTCACACAGATAAAACCTATGGAGTTTTTGACCCATCTGAACCTGTCCTTTGATCAGAAGAGATCAATCCTCCTAGCTCAGGCAACTAACTCTACAATGGATGAGGTCATTGTTGTGATGATATAGGAGTAGAGTCACATGAAGCTATACTTTGAGTCGAGTGGAGTTTCAGGTGTGAGATCAGTTTTTGTTGCCCCGAGCTCAGGTATGATACTTGTCCAGGAGGAGACTCACAAGTGTTTCAACTGTGGTAAACCGGAAATCTGAGTAAGACCTATTCTAGGCCATCTAAGGAGAGAGAGATGTGAGGACGTGATAGGGTGGAGGCCATGGTAGTTGAAAAGGTGAAAAAGGGGGCTATCAGGTAAATTTGATGGTGGTAGAGGAGGGAGGGACAAGTATGGTTTTTATCAATGAGAATGATGAGTGTCTGGAGTTGTTGAAGAGTAAACAAAAAGCAACAAGAGATGGGGCTAAGGCTGCTTCCAACCATTCGCCATCAAAGGATAACATTGTCACTTACACTCACTCTAAAAAAGGCACTTGTGAATACATGTCCTTGCCTCTATTTTCAACGAAGGATCATCAGAATGGATAGTAGATTTTAGTGCATCTTAACATGTGATAGTTACTGCTAAAGTGTTTTCTTCTTATACTCCCGGTTGTAATTAATAAGAGTACAATGAGGGGTACTAATTATATGACTTTATCCAATATTTTACATCTTTCTTTTCCAGTTGAATTTTTATCCATTAATATCATTATTCTCCAACTAAAATGAGTTGTTTCTTTTGATATTCTTATAGTGATCTTACAAGAGAAAAAGAATGATCGAACATTTAGGATTGGAACGTGACATAGTGGACTCTAATACTTGGACCGGACTCAATTTTGACATCCATTGGAGAGAGTGTTAGAGTAGGAGAATCTAGAAGAAGTGCAAAGAATGTGTTGCTACTACATCAAAGATGCGTGTGATACTCTTGTTTTGGCTTATTGAGTCGGTTATATCCTTATTTGTATGAAAATTCAAATAAACAAAAGTTTATTTGTGATGTTTGTGAGTTTAACAAGCTTACTAGGAGCTCTTATATCAATTCTAGGAATAGGAGTTTTGGTGTTTTCGACTTGATACATTTTAATATATGGGGACCTTGTTCTATAAGTTCTATAAATGATTATTGATATTTTGGTAATTTTTATTGATTGTTTTTTCTTGTATTACTTGATTTTATTTGATGATAAATAAGGGTGGCGTGTTTGTTTGCTTTAAGGACTTCCACAAGACAATTCAGACTCAATATGAGACAGTAGTGAAAATATTGAGGACTAATAATGGGACAGAGTATACCAATAAAATATTTGGGGAATATCTGCCAGCTAAATAGATACAACATCAAATCACATGTTCATACACAACGGCACAAAACAGAGTAACAGAGGAAGAATAGACACGTTCTCGACGTAGGTCGGAGCATGATGTGATGCAATAAATGTCCCAAAGCACTTATGAAGGCAAGTAATGTTGATAGTTGTTTAATTGATCAATAGGATATCATTGAGGGTGTTGGATTAAAAATCTTCTTGTAAGATGTTCAAAGAAAATAATAGTTTTTATTGAATGTGTTTGGTTATGCATATTTTGTTAAAGATAACAGGTCACCAGTAAGGAAGCTGGATCCCAGAACTGTAGAATGTATGTTCGTAGGTTATTCTGCTACCCATAAGGAATATGTCTGTTGAAGCTCAATAGAAAAGAGACGGTGAGCATAGATTTGTCATTTAGAGAATTTGAACTGTACTACACCCAGAATGTGACCTCACCTTTCGGTGACTCACTAGATATTAGAGATATGAGCCAAGGGGGTGAGTACCAACGGTGAGAGAATATTTAACCCATTGGTGACTCACCCTAAAATCAAAGTTTATCTCAAAAGACGGAAGGGGGAAGCAAAAAGAATATTTAATCTACAGTCTCAAAAGATGCGACGGGCCTTCAGCATACCTGCAAAAAATGTTAGATTATAAATAGAGAGCTCCCCAATTTTAAAAATAATTCTCCTCATGAGTTCACTTTTTTCCCCACCTAAAGAATGGAGGTTTTCAAAAATTTCCTAATTGCCCCAGTATTGTGCCTGCAAAAAAGCATGAAACCCCAATTTTAAAAGAATTTTTCAAACGCATTTGCAATTTTCCCAGTCTGATGGGTATTTTGCTCTCATTGAATGGAGGTTTTTTGAAAAAGGCTTCCCACATTATATTTTTTGAGCCCTGACGGCGTTGTCGGAAAATAAAAATAAAATATCATACAGATATATTTTTATTACAATACATAATCACAAAATAAAATAAAAATGCAAAGCAAACATTAAAAAGGTTAAGTAGGGGCTTAGGTAGAGAAAAAGTTGTAGAAGAGTTGATTCGAATTTATGAAATCAAATAGGAATCCTTTAGATTAGCATAATAAAGTTTTCCTTCATTTGATTAACAGAAGTGAAATAGGTTAAGGAAAAGGGGCTATGGCATGGAATCGCACAAGGAAGGAGAGACATGCGAAGGCTTTAGTGCAGGGGAGATTTTGGAGCTTAGGAAGATCATGACATAGGGTAGCAGCGTCGGAAAGAAAAACTCGACGCGGCAGAGAAATCAGCGAGGCTTTCTGGTGGAGTATGGAGGATTTCGGCGAAACGAAGATCTCGGCAAGGAGAGTGCGGGACTGTGCAGCAAGGAGAAAACAACGCGCTTGCTGTGAGGGGAAGGAACGATCGCTTTTTGGTCGCATGAACAGGGAAGATATAAGGAAGACATCGACAATGACAATGGTAGTTCTTTGGATCGCGACTTGAGGAGGATCACGATACAAGTAGGGAAATCTGGGTGCAGCTTCACTACGCGCAAGGAAGAAGTGGAAGGGAGAAGCACATTGCGGGTTTGGATCGCTTAGACTAAGAAAGCTTGGTCGGAGAGATCGATCAGAGTTTAGTCGTGTGAATAAGGAACGACCATGAAGCATGATTCAAATAGGAAAGAAAGGTGTGATTTCCTTGGTTTCTACATGTAATTTGGAAAGGAAGATGCAAACGGGGAGGAACAGTGGGCTTGTGTGACTTAGTGCAGCAAGCCTTAACAATTTGGACAGGAGAGTCATAAATTGGATTTCTATGGTAGAAAGAATAATGAAACCAAATGAAAAGGACGGTGGAGGAATATCGGTGACTTACGTTGTGCATCGGAGAAGATGAATGAAGCTGATGAAGCGTAGACTAACACAGGGAAATGGAAAGATTTCAGGAACCAAGAGAACGAGCGACAGAAAGACGAAGGGAATTTTGAGAGATACGTGCGAATGAGCTAAGGAGACTTCATTCCTCTGTTTGAAACTGAAGAGGAGAGTGGGGGAACGCTTATTTCATTAGGGCAGGCTCCCACGGACGGCAAAGGTAATTAATTAAATTATTAATTAATTTAATTAATTAATTATTTATTTATTTATTTATTTATCCTGTTTTTTTCTTTCTTTTTTTTAATAAAGTCAAAGAGTGTGAGCAATGGTTTATCCTGTCCTGCTTTTTTCTTTCTTTTTTTTTATAAAGTCAAAGAGTGTGAGCAATGGTTTATCCTGTGAAGTAGTTCTAAAGATGAGCTAAGGGCGTATACTCGGAGAAGTAAGCAAAATGAAGAAATGGTGTCTGCAATATCATTTGCGTCAGCTAGTTTCTCGTACTGGTCTTCCCCGGCTCTAGAGAAACATACACCATCCACCCCCAACTCAGAAATCTCATGTGATATGATTCCTCCTCTTCCTAACCCCCCAATTGTAAGGAGGGTCTCTCGCAGTAATGCGTAAGATCCTCCTGATTATTTTAGGTGAGAACATGACATTGATAATTTTATTTCATATTCTAACATATCACCTTTGCACGAAGCATTCATTGCATATTTGAACATTGTCTCTATACCCAAGTGTTGTCAGTTTGTTAAGAAGAATTATAAGTGCAAAGCAGCCATCAATGAAGAGCTTAGGGCTCTCGATAAAAACCGAACATAGAAAATAGTGTCACTACCAACAAAAAAAAGACAGTTGAGTGCAACTGAATCTTCACAATGAAACAAACTCCAAAGAGAATGTGGAGCGGAATAAAGCACAACTGGTGGCGAAAAAGTACAGTCGGACATATGACATTGACTATGATGAAAACTTGGTACCAGTAACGAAGATGAGCACAGTGAAGATATTGGTTTCTCTGGCAGTATATGGTGGGTTGAGGTAACACCAACTTGACGTGAAGAATGCATTTCTTCATGGTAAGTTATTGGAGGAGGTATAAGGAGATACCACCAGAATTCAATACAGCGCAGACAGTGGGCAAGATGTGTAAGCTCAGGAGGTTATTATATGGCTTTAAGTCGAGCCTGGTTTGACAAATTTAGAAAGGCTGTAGTAGGCATAGAATATCAGCAGATCAATGCAAACCATACAGTGTTCTTTCAACAAAAAGAATGTCACATCATTATATTTGTTGTGTATGTTGATGACATCAATGTCACTGGTGATGATGAGACAGAGATTGCCCAACGAAAGGTAAGATTGGAAAATAAATTTGAAAGGAATGATCTTGGACGGCTCAGATACTTTCTTAGAATTGAAGTAGCCCGTGAACATAAGGGGACGGTCTTGTCCCAAAAAAAATATGTACTAGCTCTCCTCACGGAAACAGGCATGCTGGGGTGTAAACCTGCATTATCTTCAATTGACCAGAAGGTCAAGTTGAGTGCAAAGGCAGAACGACCGGTTGATTGTGAGAGGTACCAGAGATCGGTGGGTCTTCTGATCTATCTGTCACACTCGACCCAGCATCCCTTTTATAGTGAGTGTGGTAAACCGTTACATGCATGAACCAAGGAACGATCAATGAATGTTATGTATCAAATTCTGAGGTACGTGAAGAGTGCAGAAGAGAAAGGGTTGCTCTTCAGAAAGAATTGGCACGTAGACATTGATGGCTTTTATGATGTTGATCGGGCGAGTTGTGCATATGACAGAAAATCCACCTTGGGATACTACATGTTCGTAGGGGGCAACTTATCTTTTGAAAAAGCAAGAAACAGCCTGTAGTAGCAAGGTCAAGAGCAAAGGCAGAGTACAAGGTCAAGACTTTAGGAGTTGTAGAGTGATGTGGTTGAGAGCCTTGTTGATTGAACTCAAGGTGGACCAAGGAACTCAAATGAAGTTGTGTGCGACAAATCAATAATCAATATTGCCAACAACCCAGTGCAACGTGATAGAAACAAACATGTGGAGATTGATAGATTCTTTGTCAAGGAAAAGCTGAAAAACGAGCTACTAGAGCTAAGTCATGTAGCCACTGGAGAACAAGTGACTGGCTGCCTCATTAAAGTACTTCAATAGATTTGTCTATGTTATGTGAGAAAATGGGCTTCGTGGATATCTTTTTCCGAGAATCAAACCTTATTTAGGGTCCTATTGGTAAAAAGGGAATATTGAAGAAGTTTAGGGGTTTATTCGTAAAACATTGTAATACCCTATTTAAACTCATTTTATGAATATACAAATTAGGTTTTGAACAATTCTTTCTTTTCTTAAAAGTGAAATCCACCTTTTTATTCATAGGTTTAAAACACAAAAGTACTATGTACGTAAATATGAAAGTTTAGATGTGAGATTTGTAAATACACACAAATTGTGCATTAACCTCAGATTGTTTTCCCATAAATTTAACTTGCAATAAAAACTTCCACGAGTTCAAAGAAAAGAATAATACTATATAAATAAATAAATGAATATATACATCACCTATAGAATCGAATATTTGGATTTAAACCAACAGCCGCTTTCCCATAAAGTTTGATGTCGTCAAATACTTTATTCAAGCCAGACTCCCATAGGCTTTCCGCGAGAATGGGGTCATTAACAGATATGCGATCATTGTCTCTGTAAGCTTCGCCTTTGGTAGGACCCAGGCTCCCTTGATGGACGAAACCGATCAACTCTGCAACTTCAATAAAGGTCTTTGCTTCATAAGCTGTGAGGAAGTTTGATATCTGAAAAATCACAAAAGAAATTGCAGAATGAGGACTGAAGGCAACCAACATGAGGTTAACACAGATCTCTTAGTAAATATTGAAATTAAATAAAGACATAAATTTCCTCGTAATATCAAAATAAGCTATATATCAGAAAATGTGTAGGCAAATGCCTCTTCTACTAGATAAGTTGCAGTTGAGGCCGTCATTATTTGACAGCTACAAGCAGGCCCATCATTGTTTCACTGATTGATTAACAAGCAGAACCAAAACAAATTTCTCAAATCAATTTTACCCATAACACTTCCACCCCTCAATATTTCCCTGAAATGCAAATAAGTTCATGGTAGGTTTTCAATTACTTTAGCCATCAGGAAGTCTCAGAGGATTTCTTTAATATCAAAATACAATTACTTTTGCAGTATATTAACGGCCAAGCCAGCTACTCGCTGGACCTCAATGGACTCCAACTCCAAACAGATCCGGGAAGAGCATGGCCCCATCGGTGGGAAGTTAAAAATATTTTTGAGTCATTTCCTCTGTTGTTGTTCATAGTAACGGAAAGGACCTAGAAGTGGATCATGAAAATCGGAACAACACCGTAGAAACTACTTATACTTCGACCATGGCTTCGATCCAATTAGAATCAAAACCACACCGTAGAATACGATTACACAGATTCAAGAAAATCAAACAAAAAATTCAAACGGAGACAAAATAAAATAATTCAAGAAAAAAACACACCAGGATTTAACGTGGAAAATCTCCAGAACGAGAAAAAATCACGGAGTCATGCCACCATGAAATTTTTATTATTAAATTCAAAAAAATACAAAGAACTCACTCAGATGTTCTCTCTAGAAGCAATGGAACTTACATGACTTCGCTCCAAATCCTACCTCAATCCCACAAGAGAAATACACACCTAAATCCTCCTCTTAGACCCTTCTCCAATTCACGGAAAACTTTTCGAATAAATACACATGCAGATATTACCTTTATCGCTCAAAATCACGAATTAAGAACTGCTCCAGCACCAACCATCCAGCGGTGCAGTCACGTTGCATGTCTACGTAATTATTTTCCTTGCTCAAAGAGGAATTTTGGAACCGGCGCGGGGGCACTTGTAACCAGTGCAAGGGCACTGTATGCACCAGAACGGGCACGCATTATAGGCGCAAACACGCCTCGCCCAAAATGCTTTTGGGTGCTTGGCCTGCTGCTTGGTTGTCGTGGGGTTGTGGGTGCATCCTAGGTTCCACAACTCCAACATAACCATCTAATCCAACACAACCCTAGCATATACATAGACCAACTACATGGCTAGCAAAAAAAAAATCACATCAAGCATGAAAATAATCACCATCATCCTTCATTCACAATGTTCAAAGCATAAAGATGAGTTCCAATTGTTATGCGAAAACAATAAAAAAATAAATAAATTCACACAACAGTCAAACACAAACTATTTACGTGGTTCGTAGTTGACTTGATTCTCCTACATCCACGTTGAGGTGATTTCACTAACACCAAATGGGGAGAAAGAAAAACAGACTTGGGGTTACGATTTCTGCACTTCTCATCATAACTCTCTCATGAACCCTAAGTCTATTTTATAGAAAAAGATTAGGGCATACAAGTAAATAAAGTCAAAAGACCGAATTATGCATAATTGGGGAAAAAGTCATAAATAAAACAATTTTCACCTCATCTCCTACTTCCAGATAAATGGAGATAACCAAATGAGCTCCAAACATCAATTCAACTGCACCAAGATGATTGCCTACATACCCCCTCACGAAGGGATCAAGCCTCGCATAGTTCTTCAAAATTTTTGATTGGGCAATCAATCTTAAGCTTGGATGATCACCAAACTCCTGCAGTAAGTGAACTTCTAGACTGGCGGTACCTTCATGAGTATGTTCGCTAGATTCTCCCTCGTATTTATTTTCTTCAACATAACCTTATTTTCATCAGTTAAGTCCTGAACAAAGTAATATTTCACATCAACGTATTTGGTACGAGTATGATGAACTGAATTTATAGCCAAAATATTACACTCTATCTGTCACAGAACACCGTCAGAGACTTCCGATCAACTCTCAAGTCATCTAATAGACTCTGAATTCATATCGCTTCATTCATCGCCTCTATGACTGTCCTGTACTCAACCTCCATAGGTAAAAAAAATAAAAATAAACTGAAGAACCGACCTCTAACTACTAGACATCTTCTAATGTGAATAAAGAGTCAATTCTAGATCTCAGCCTATCCATATCACCTATATAGTTTGAATCGGTGTAACCCACACACAAATTTACAATAAATGATTGTCTCTCAAATATCAAACCAATATCAATAATACTATTCAGATACCTCAAAACATTCTTCATAGTCTACCAAAATTTCATTTTTGAATCATGCATGAACCTACTCACAACACCAACTGCTTCTGCAATATATGGTATAAAGCAAACCATGACATACATCGAACTGTCTATTGTACTAGCATGAGAAACTGATCGTATCTCTTTCCTTTCTTGATCGTTTTTAAAACACTGATCTAAACTCAACTGAAAGTGAAATGCAATGGGAAGACTCATCTTCTTGCTCGAGTCATCAACCCCAAATTTTTTCAGTACCTTCCGAACATAAGCTAAACATTTCCAGTTGTCTTGTCCTTGAGAATCTTCATGTTAATAATTTTGCAAGCTTAACCCAGCTCCTCACTTTGAAATGTTTTGACAGTTAATTATTCATCCTATCAAACTCAATTTGATTAGTATATGCAATCAACATATCATTAATATATATAATCAAATAAATGAACTCATTGTTAGTCAATTTCTTGAAATATGCACAATGATCATATTGGCTCATATACTTTTGTCCCCCCATGAACTTGTCAAAATTTTATATCATTGTTGTGATTATTGCTTTAATTTATATAAAGACTTGTCCAATTTGCAAACCAAATTTTTTAATGCTGCGGGTGCAACATTTAGATCTCCTCTTATAATTGTCTCGTATAGGAATGCAGTCCTCACATTCAGCTGTTCCATGATCTGACTGTGATGTGCTACAAGTGCTAAGAGAACACGGATTGAGGAATGTTTGACCACTAGAAAGAACACCTCGTCATAATCAATTTTTCTCGTTGCACAAAACCTTTTACCACTAATATTGTCTTGTACCGCACATCAGCTCCATGAGATCCTTTTTTGCATACACCCATTAGCACCGATGGCTTTCAGGAATATTCACCAACCTTTAAGTAACATTCTTCCGAAATTAAGAAACTTCATCACTTCATCCATTGTCACTCTACAAAAATCACATTATGGACTCTCCACCGCTTCTTAATAGTGACAAGCGATTTCTATCTACGTGGCTGAAAGTGCAAATGCAATGTGGTCGTTCAACCAAGCTAGTTTTGGGATATTCCATTGTCTGGTTAGCAATAGTTCCTGAGTAGGAATCTCATCCTCAACATCTTCTTCTACCTCCTCCTGAACACTATCAACAGATACCTCCTGAACTATAACTGAATCAACTATCTGAGTCAGAATGAACAAATTTTATGGAACAAATGGAGTTGCATCAACATTCAACTTTCCAGTATATCTCTCCACCATTTTGAGTCATGATTTTTCAACAAGTTTGTCTCATCGAATGTAACATCCCTGCTAATAACAATTTTTCTTTCCGACTGATCACATAGTTTGAAGCCCTTGAAACTATGCTTGAAACAAATGAAGATTGTCCTCTTTGCTCGTGGTTTCAGTTTATCATTTTGCACATGGTAGTAAGTTAAACACTCAAACACTCTCATGTGCTCACCCTGACCACGTCTCTTTTGGGATCTTCTTCCCAATAATTGCAAAAAGCAATCGGTTCATTAAGTGACAGGCATAGTCTATGGTCTCGGCCCAATAGGCCCTATCCAACTGAGCATTTGATAACAGACGCCAAACTTTCTCTACCAAAATTCAGTTCATCTTCTCTATCACTCTGTTCTATTATGATATCTCTCAAACAGTGAAGTAGTGTTTTATCCCAGCTCTCTGACACTCTTGCAAAAACGCATCTGAAGTGTATTCGCCCTCATTGTCTGATATGATATATCATATATTTTTACCAGTTTGTGCCTCAATCCATTTTTTCTAAGTTATGAAAATCTACCGCACCTTTCTTTTTCACTTCATGGTGTACACCTAAATATATCTGAAGTAATCATCAGAAAAATAAATAAAGTATTTACGCTAGCTGAATGATGTTGTCTTCGTCGGGCCTCAAACATTTGTTTAAATATACTTTAAAATATATTTCGTAAAGTGGATGGCAGTGCCAAAAAATATCTAGTTTTTTTTTTGTCAAATACACAATGTTAACAGAAATCAAACTTGCAAGTGCTCATTGCTTTAATCAATTATTGTTTCACTAAAGCTTGAAGTAAAGGTTTTCCAGCATGAGTTAGTCGGCTATGTCATATCATAGTGACGTCAGAAGAATCATCAGCAACAACAATCATTATAGTTATTGTACTACCCTAAAGATGAAAAAGATTGTGATGGTGAATTCCCTTTATAAAAATCAACACTTCACGACATGTCCTCAGAACATCTGCATCAATACTACCTTGCTGCCCTTGAATTCTGAAAGCCCAACTGACAGCAAATTCTACATGACGTCTAGAATATATTTAACGTCAGTCAGCTCCCTCATAGTATAATCATGCATACTAATAAAGATACTTCATACATTAATAACACGACAAACTTGATCATTGTTCATAGTCAATACACCGATATCGAGCTTCTTGTACATACAGAACCGCATAGTTAGCACATGTGTCTAGTATCCAGCACGAATCAGCAGTAAACAAACTATGAAAAACTGAAAATAACGATACATCTGAATCCGCCTCTTCACATCTTTCCCCGATGATATTAGTTTTCGCCTTAAATACAATTTCATTTCTCTTCTCATTCAGCTTCGAACAATCTTACTTCCAATGAACAATCTCTAAACAAAAAGCATGTTGATTTCTCTCAAGACTGCGCCCACGAGACTTGCCCCACTTTTGAGAAGTATCGTGTGTCATCTCTATTTGTTAAATTCTTCTTCTTTTGATGTCTGTCGCGTTAGAGTGCAAGTGTCTCAGCTAATTACATCTTTGAAAACTTCTTGTCCCTTTGACAGAACTCATGATTTAATAGCGTCGCAGTCACTTTGTCATAACTAAAGACCTCCTTCCCATGAATGAGTGTCATCGTGAAATTTTCGTACTCATTTTAGAGCAAATTCAACAAAAATAGTGTATTGTGCTCATCTCCAACCTCTTCATCTAAATTTAAAAAGTCTGTTAACAAAAAGAATGACTTGTAAAGTCATTCAAATGCTTATTAATAGTAAGCCCCTGTCTCCTTTTAAATATATAGAGTCAACGTTTCATATGAAGATAGTTCTCTACGTTCTTCGTGAAATATTTGTTCTCCAACATCCTCCATAATTTCCTTGTAAAATTCTCAATCATCACCATATATTAGATCTCCTAGGCCAAGCAATTTTGAATCAAACCAAAAGTACTCAGGTTCATCTTCAACAAATCATTCTCTGACATCTCTTCAGAACATTTCTCACTATCCAGGACTTCCTCCAGATTCAAAGAACACGGTACATCTATCACCACACATCGTCACATGTCAAAGTTTTATTTGTCATTAAATTTCATCACATCGATTTTGACAGAATGAGTAAACAATTGATAAATCAACTTTTTCATTGTTATATAGTTGAAGTTGAAAAACCTGATATCATGATATCATTCATTACTTCCACCGTCTAAGAGAAATCTTCTCTATCAGAATGAAATAAAAAAGAAAAACAATAAAAAAAAAAATCACCTGACAAAAGAAGAAAATATTTCTTTTGTTTTTTTTTTATTTCTTAAAATGGATTTTTTTTCTTTTTTTCGAAATTCCCTTTTTTTCTGGTTTCCCAAAATTCTCTTTTTCCTTGAAAAAAAATTCCTTTTTTTTCTTTTTCCAAAGTTCCCAAAATTCACTTTCATTTTCCTAGAAATCTCCTTTTCAAAAAAAAAAACTCCTTTTTTCTAAAAAAAATTTCCTTCATTTCTTGCTTGTCGTCGGTCTGCAGTCGGAGCTGCCGCTAAAACAAAACTCATTGTATGCCCTCGAGCTCCGCCTCTGCTGCTGACCAAATCTATGTGTCCAAGTCGTAGGCCTACGGCAGAACTTTGAAGTATGCTAGCAAAGCACGTCGGACCACCTGTTGCAACAAACGCCAGCAACATGCGCCGAATATTCTGTTGTTGAAGTCGAACCATGCCCTAATCATGAACTCGAATCTCTGATATCAATTGTTATGCCAAAACAATACGAAAACAAAGAAATTCACACAAAAACAATCAAACACAATCGATTTACGTGGTTTGACGTTAAATTGATTTGCATACGTCCATGGGCAGGGAGATTTCACTGGCACATGATCTAAAGAAAGAAAAACCAGCTTGAGATTACAATTTCTGCACTTCTCATCATAACTCTCATGAACCCTAAGTACCTTCTATAGAGGAGGATTATGACATACAAGTAAATAAAGTCAAAATACCAAATTACCCCTAATTACAAAAAAGTCATAAGTACAACAGCAACACCTCCATAATTACCGTTTTTCAACCAAGTGCTTGCTTATGATAGGTTATTTTCATGTAATACCTCTTATATAATGAAGCTTCAAGTAACCTTATTGAACTATTGAATAACATTGAAAATTGTTCTTCGCATCAGTTCTGAATAGCACAGAAATCTTCACAAACAACAATTGATTAGCTGCACGTATATTAAACAACTATGCTAACACCATAATTTAGATGAAATTAAATGAAGGAACTTCCCAATTTTTTTACTGAGAGTAAAAAATCTTCAAAAAATTAAGAAGAAAAAGGACGGAGTTCATCTCGCATGAGAGTTAAGCAATAAAAATCTTAACCATAAAGAAGAATTTCTGCGTCGCGGTTTCAAGAAAAATAATCCGTTCGCTTGGCCTGACAGATCGACAGGAGAGATACCTTTCCCTTCCCCTAATTCGTTTAATGCAAAAACAAACGACAAATTTCTCTATAAATCAAAAACCCCCATCGAATAAATCGCGAGGCATTCGTAACATAAAGCACCTCCAAATAGCCGAAAGAAACAGCTGCGAGAGTGTTGGAAGATCATACCTTAGAGAGTGTTGGAAGATCTTACCGTAAAGAGATGGGTGCTCTTGAGGCGATTGACCTTCAGGTCCTTCTTAGGTTTTACTGTAGGCCACTTCCCGTCGATTTCCTTCCCCATTTTCATCTTCTTCCTCCCGAATTCCTCCTCGTCCCTACCTGCCATCTTCCGTCCTATTAAAACACCACTAAGGAAAAAATTACTCGCTGAAACACCAGCTGGTGCAATATATGGCTACATAATTTAACGAAAATATCTTACTCAATAAAAAGTTTACACTAAAGTTCAAGTGATATATGTAGCTGATGAGATTATCAGATTAATACTAAAAATATAATATGAAGTTAAATAATATTTTTCTAAATTTAATTAATTAAATGATAAAAATAAAATCAAATAATTTTTATTTATGCTAGTTAGAAAACATAATCTTACTAATAGTTAGGCATATGATAATATAAAAATGTTATGCAGATAGGATACCTATGGATGCATATTTTTTGTTTGAATGTTTATTTGTATCATAGAAATAACTCTATAGATTAATACAACATCATTATATCCTACCAAATGTCATATTTTTTGTTTAAAATCCTAGTCTAATTTCACAACTACATGAAACTTTAGATTATAATCTACACATTCTAATCGAAACTTTAGGCCACCTATATATCATACCTGGAACCCGGAGCCCACAAACCCAAAGAATCAACCAAGTAACCCATTAACACCCAAACTAAACAATCAACCCTCTAACCTATTAAATTACGAGACCATTATCTTACCATTAACTAAACAAAAATCAACACTACTCAAACTCCACCCTATACGTACATAGCACAAATTTCTTATGTATTTACATATCTCATATCTAAATTTACATAATTAAGTAAATAGTACAAATTTATTTATGTATTTTCATCTCACACACAAATTTTCAAATTTACATATTTACATAGCATATATTTACATACATATCACTAATCTTATGTATTTACATATCTCATACCTAAATTTTCATATTTACGTACCTTGCAGTATGTTCTTATGTATTTACATATCTCAAACCTAAATTTTCATATTTACATACATAGGACAAATTTCTTATCTATTTACTTTTTTTACACCTAAATTTTCATATTTACACATTTACATACAAAGCAAATATTTACATATACAACACTAATCTTATGTATTTACATATCTCGCACCTAGATTTTCATATTTACACACATTACACAAATTTCTTAGGTATTTACATATCTCAAAACCTAAACTTTTACATTTAAACACGCGCCGCTCTAAATTTATGTAAACCATGAAATCCATATACATTATACATCTAACAGAAGAATACGACAAAAACTGGAGCAAAACCTATGTATTTTTAGATCAAACACCCATGCAATAAAAAAAATATGAAAACTCATGTTAAACCAAAACATGGACGTGTGGAAGAAGTTTTCTCACCTGCACGAGGTTGGAGCAGTGAATTTGAGCCGAAATCGCAGGAAAAGCTCATACGGGCCGAAGGGAAGCTGAAGGAGAGGGAGACGACCTCGATAAGGAAGAATCACAAAATGGAGGTTGTGGTTCGGGGGACACCTTTTTAGAACATAAGCATTGGTATTAGCATCCGCTAATGTCGACACTAATAAGTAATTTTAGTCTCAGACGCAACCAATGCTAATCAGACACAATAGTGTTGAAACGGTGTCTTCCACCCGGCGCAACACATCTGCATCGATTCTTTTTGGGAGCGGGACTGCTGGCGACGCTAAGTACACCCAAATCGGTCACTAATTTATCGTCAAAAACATTATGGTGCTAATTTACACTTTTCCCACAATGCCAACAATTAAAGTATAATTCTTAAAAAGAGGTGCAAATAATTTGTACCAAACTCTGTTCGCCACCGCGTATAATTTTTGTAGTCCAACTACAATTATGGTAGACAACTAGAAACCATTGTAGCCACCAAAGACAACATTTGTAGCCAATTATAGTTGCCACTTGCCACCAACTATAGTTATTGCAGTCTCAACTACCCGTATACAATTACATTGCTCGTGTTATTTCAATACTATTGTGATTTCAACATAATTTTATCTTCATATATTCTCTAATTCATGAATTAAGCGGACCTTTGTAATTTCAAATTCTCAAGATAAAAAATCTGGTTGTTTCCTACGTTTTCAATTTATCTCTTAGTGGGCTGGAAAATTATTTTGAGCTAAGACTAAAGATTTTTTATGGTTGAAAATTTTTTAGTATGCAACAGATGCAAAAATTAAAATTTAGATGTCTAAATACTTAAGAAATTAAATGGCATGCATGCAAATTTTCATCTGATTATAAATGAAACTACTTATTTCTCTTTAAGGGGGAGATTGTAAGGTCTCTAGCTTGACCGGAGCATAACTCTCAAAATCATTAACTTTTTGATAACTTCACCTAAAAAATAAAACTATAATCTATTTTTTTAGACAATAATAACGAATGAAGTTCTCTTTTATCTGACTGGCATGAAAATAAATATTTCGTCTGGACAGCCAACCACCGGAGGCCAGGTTGTCCGCCGCTGACGTGTATGTCCGGACGAAATATTTTCTCCTGGCATGGGGACTTATTTTTCGAATTAGAATTATTTATTATTTATTGCTGCACTTCTAGAAACAATTTAGTTCTGATACATTGACTTTGATTCAATTTTTCTAAATTTTAGAATTATTTAAGGTTATAATAAAATTCTTAGATTGATTTGTCATGCGTTCACCTAATTTAAATAATTTTATTAATTATAAAATATGATATGTACAGCCGAGCAAAATACTGACTTTCATGCAAGCAATAGCCAAGATTTCTGTTCAAAATGTTCATGCAAGAAAATATTTTTATTTTAATAATATTTTCCTTGGAGCCCATGTTTTTCCAACGAAGAAAGCAGCCCTGGGCAAAATGCAAAGCAAGCTAAGGTTTGACTTTCTCTAATTCTTTTTGGAAAATTTACATAGATGCCAAACTATGTTTATGTATTTACGAAAAATTATTTTATACATACACCGCATGCACAAATGTATGCGGTGTCCGATCCTGACAGTAGATCACGGTGATCTAAGGTCAGGATGTTTCGGTGGGCCCCATTTAAAAATTTTTTTTTTTTAATTTTGATTTCATCAGGATCGGATACCGCATGCATCTCTGACTATGCTAACACCATAATTTAGATGAAATTAAATGAAGGAACTTCCCAATTTTTTTACTGAGAGTAAAAAATCTTCAAAAAATTAAGAAGAAAAAGGACGGAGTTCATCTCGCATGAGAGTTAAGCAATAAAAATCTTAACCATAAAGAAGAATTTCTGCGTCGCGGTTTCAAGAAAAATAATCCGTTCGCTTGGCCTGACAGATCGACAGGAGAGATACCTTTCTCTTCCCCTAATTCGTTTAATGCAAAAACAAACGACAAATTTCTCTATAAATCAAAAACCCCCATCGAATAAATCGCGAGGCATTCGTAACATAAAGCACCTCCAAATAGCCGAAAGAAACAGCGGCGAGAGTGTTGGAAGATCATACCTTAGAGAGTGTTGGAAGATCTTACCGTAAAGAGATGGGTGCTCTTGAGGCGATTGACCTTCAGGTCCTTCTTAGGTTTTACTGTAGGCCACTTCCCGTCGATTTCCTTCCCCATTTTCATCTTCTTCCTCCCGAATTCCTCCTCGTCCCTACCTGCCATCTTCCGTCCTATTAAAACACCACTAAGGAAAAAATTACTCGCTGAAACACCAGCTGGTGCAATATATGGCTACATAATTTAACGAAAATATCTTACTCAATAAAAAGTTTACACTAAAGTTCAAGTGATATATGTAGCTGATGAGATTATCAGATTAATACTAAAAATATAATATGAAGTTAAATAATATTTTTCTAAATTTAATTAATTAAATGATAAAAATAAAATCAAATAATTTTTATTTATGCTAGTTAGAAAACATAATCTTACTAATAGTTAGGCATATGATAATATAAAAATGTTATGCAGATAGGATACCTATGGATGCATATTTTTTGTTTGAATGTTTATTTGTATCATAGAAATAACTCTATAGATTAATACAACATCATTATATCCTACCAAATGTCATATTTTTTGTTTAAAATCCTAGTCTAATTTCACACCTACATGAAACTTTAGATTATAATCTACACATCCTAATCGAAACTTTAGGCTGCCTATATATTATACCCAAAACCTGGTGCCCACAAATCCAAAGAATCAACCAAGTAATCCATTAACACCCAAACTAAACAATCAGCCCTCTAACCTATTGAATTACCACACCATTATCTTACCCTTAACTGAACAAAAATCAACAATAGTCAAACTCCACCCTAAACGTATCTAGCACAAATTTCTTATGTATTTACATATCTCACATCTAAATTTACATAATTAAGTAACTAGTACAAATTTATTTATGTATTTTCATCTCACACACAAATTTTCAAATTTACATATTTACATAGCATATATTTACATACATATCACTAATCTTATGTATTTACATATCTCATACCTAAATTTTCATATTTACGTACCTTGCAGTATGTTCTTATGTATTTACATATCTCAAACCTAAATTTTCATATTTACATACATAGGACAAATTTCTTATCTATTTACTTTTTTTACACCTAAATTTTCATATTTACACATTTACATACAAAGCAAATATTTACATATACAACACTAATCTTATGTATTTACATATCTCGCACCTAGATTTTCATATTTACACACATTACACAAATTTCTTAGGTATTTACATATCTCAAAACCTAAACTTTTACATTTAAACACGCGCCGCTCTAAATTTATGTAAACCATGAAATCCATATACATTATACATCTAACAGAAGAATACGACAAAAACTGGAGCAAAACCTATGTATTTTTAGATCAAACACCCATGCAATAAAAAAAATATGAAAACTCATGTTAAACCAAAACATGGACGTGTGGAAGAAGTTTTCTCACCTTCACGAGGTTGGAGCGGTGAATTTAAGCCGAAATCGCAGGAAAAGCTCGGACGGGCCGAAGGGAAGCTGAAGGGGAGGGAGACGACCTCGATAAGGAAGAATCACAAAATGGAGGTTGTGGTTCGGGGGACACCTTTTTAGAACATAAGCATTGGTATTAGC